AGTAGTAGCTGTAGTAGCTGTAGTAGTCGTACAACTAATGCGAATGGTACCGCAAGATGTAGCGAAAAATAATGGCGACATCAAGTTTAGTCGTCGTCGTAGTAGTAATCACCTCTGACCAGCATGCAGAACACATTCGTCAAATCCTTTCGTCGTCCGATGGATCGCCCGACCCTTTGGCCAACAGCGCGGCGCCCTTTGCGCGAAGGCCGCTTTGCGCAGATACGCGCAATTGAAACTCGTCACGAAGCCGCGGCGCCGCCATTCGCCCAAGACGAAAAACAAGCACGCAAAGCTGGCAAGGGGACATTTGCACTGGCGGTGGCGCCGCGAACGAACAACTCCACGCGTGCTACACCATTCCATTTAATACTTGAGCACGCGCGCGGTAGCGCGGAAAGCCCGCGAACGCCGGGCCGCCGACGCAAGGGCGCGGCGCTGGCGAGGCGCGCGCGTGCAAAAGAGCGCGGCTGACCGTGCAAACACACACTGTGTGGCAAAATCTTGGACAATGCGCTGGCCCCTGCGATCACGCCGCACTGCTCCCAGCCCCATCAAGTAATCCCAGGTCCTCAGTTTGAAGAGGCAAAACCCGCGTCATTCTTTCATTTCTTCCTCTTCCCTCCTCCCTCCTCCACCTCCTCCATTACCTATCAATTTCGGCACACCCCTCACACGCTCCGTGGCCCCATGAGGGGGCCCCACCGATGACCCAGGTGGCTGAGCCCGCATGCCTGGTCCGCATCATTTCGGCGCACCCCGCGCACGCTTCGGGGCCTCATAGGGAGCTCCGCCTAAAGCCGCAGCGCTGGGGCCACACACTCCTCTCACGTTAGGTGACCCCAGAAAGAGTTTCAACTATGGCCCCAATGGCTGGGCCCGCATGCCTGGTCCGCACAAATTCGGCGCACCCGTCACACGCTCATGGCCCATAACGAACCCCAATTGAGGCACCAATGGTTGCGTCCGTTTCTTCTACACACCACTCCGGTGCGTCCTTGACACGCTCCGTGACCCCATGGCCCCATAGGAAGCTCCACCTAAGGCGTCTATGCCGGGGCATGTATGCCTTCCCCACACCACTCCAGCGCACCCCTCACACGTTTCGTGACCCCACAAGAGGGTTCCACTGCCACGGCCCGCGTGCGCACCCCCCACACGCTTCGTGACCCCATGGCCCCATCGGAAACTCCACCTAAGGCGCCAGTGCCAAGCCCCATATGCCTTGTCAACACCGTTTCGGCACATACCTCGCACGCTTCGAAGCCCCACCGGTAGGTCCACTGAAGACTCCACAGTCAAGGCCCGCATTCTTCCCCCACACCATCTTCCCTGACACGTGTCGTGGCCTCATAAGGAGCTCCACCTGAGGCCCACGCGCCAAGGCTCGCATGCCTTCTCCGCACAATTTCGGCCCACACACACACACACACACACACACACACACACACACACAGCGCATGTTTCTCGGCGTCATAGGGAGGTCCACCGAAAGCCCCAGTGCCACGGCCAGCAACGCCTTCTCCTCATCATTTCGGCACACCACTCGCACGTTTTGCGACCCCACACGGGGGCAAACCGATACTCACAACTACGGTACCCACCACTGCATGTGGTTGGGTGTTTCGCCAAACTCCGCCGACCCTGTCGGCGTGTATGAGACGTTATCCCGAATGGATCGTCGTCGTCGCCGTCGCCGCTCCACCCATTTAGCTGGGCCCTCCTCCTTAATCGATCGAACCAAACGGAAATCAAACGACGTCGTACTTGACTTGGAGGGAAGACCTTTCCCGTTTGATCTCTTCTTTGGCGGGGTGGGAAAGGGGTCCCAGGAGGGGGTCCGCAGGGGGGTCCCAGGGGGACCCGCGAACCGTCACAGCGTCCAAAAAGACCCAAGATGGTTTAAATAAAGCCTCGGGTGCCCAGGATGGCCTCCACGAGAGCTCAACATAGCTGAATATGGCTGAATTCGAACCACAACATGCCCCCAACAGACCCACAGACAAGTCCAGGACGGCCCAAGGTGGCCAACAGAAATCTCCATGATACCAAACTCAGTCAAAACCTAAGTGGGGTGAAATGTAGTTGTCGTCTCGCCGCTTCGCTTCCAAAAAAAAGAGCCCCAAGATCGGGGGCATCGAAGGCCCCAAAGATGTATCAAGCTCACAATTGTCAGCCTCGCTGTTTCGGTGCATGTTTTGAAATATGTGTCCCTTTCTCCAGGTTGCTCGCCTGGGCATCGTTTCTGGATGGAGCGGTGCGGATACAGGAGGGGCCCATACGAGTTGTGTCTTGCGCGTTTGGCACTTCGTTAGCACAAAAGGCCCGTATGTACATAATGGGTGTGGTCAGCATGGACCTGCATGCTTTTCGCTAGGCACATAAAGCAGGGCATGTCACCTGTGGGAAGAGTTATTAAAAAGGTGTTGATGGAAAGTCTGCGTGTGAGAACTCGCGGCTGCAATTCGTAGCGAATAGGGCGTAGCGGGCGGGATGTTGCGGATAGCCCTGACTGATAAGTTGCTTGCAACGCGTGTCTATTGTGAGCTGCAACAACACGTACCGTCGCCTCGCCCAGCCACCCGAGACCA